TGTTTGGTCGTACTCCTTGGTGCGCTGCTGCTGGTTTTCTCTGGTTCACAAAAAGTCTCTGCCCTTCTGCAAGGAAAGCATAAGGTAGCAGAGAAGAGAGTTGTATTTGGTGTAGTTATCTACAGTCTCCTGAGCAGCAATATAGCTATTTATTTATTGCATTCTCTACCATACTTTCTAAACACTAGTCTGCTGCACTTACATTTAAAATATTAAGTGAATCTGGGACCGACAAAATAGTTTCATCCAAACGATAAGAGGGTTTTATCCAACAGACACTGGCTTGTTCTCTAAGAATATCATGAACAGTGGTATTGGCTTAAAGGAAGGTTAAGGATGTGTTTACTACTTTCTCCATCTGAGACACAGAATATTTAAAATCTGTAAATTGACTATGCTATAAGAAACATTTGAGCTGCCGTAAGTCAGGTGTTGACCTTTCCCATCTTAAAATCATGAAGCGTTTATCTTGCATCGAGAAAGCAATTGATTCTCTCTTCAAGAGAAGCTGACATTCTAACTATGTTATCTTTGATATATATGTACTCTGGTTATTGACCACATGAGAAAGTTAGGTGCTGGATTTAAAGGGCAGGATAGTATAACCTAAAAGCAGGAGTACTGAGGTCTCCCATCTTCTGACCTTCTCTTTGAATTTACTATATGGCAACTGGAAGATACGTGCCCATAGTAGCTGTATGGGTACGTATACGAATAAGGCTGATGCGCGTACGTTATTTTGCACACGCTAAGCAGAGTGAGCCTCCATCCTTGCAGCACCTCCAGGAGCGGTTGTGTTCCTGTGGGGTGATCCTGACAGGCTGTTTTATTGTTGTATACAGTAGACCGAAATAGGGATGAGTTGGGATAAGCTTTATTTGAAAGAAAAAGTTCGCTAACTTCCATCGGAATCTACCTAGGATATGGCGTGTTTAACTGATTTTACTTTGCTAATGCCGTAAGCTGGTCTTTGATAATTGCTTTCTGTAATTGGAACAAATTTATGATTATGCTAATTCATCTGCTGCCAGCCAATATGTAGTAGCTGAGTTAATCCATATCTGCCCCTGCATTTCTTTTGTAGATCATTACATGATTAGCCTTTGTTAGAAATTGATGGAGGTATTTTAATTCTGAGCAGATTTAATTTCAGGGGAAAAAAATCAGATACCTTTATATAAACTTAGGGCATATTATAGCAGTTTTTAAGTCTAGTTCAAGATAGAAACATTTAAGACCTTCAGACAGACTAATTCTTAAAAAGAAATATATTTCGTTGTGGTACAAGCAGCTGCGGGACCTCTGATGATGATAAAGTGAGGGAAGTTAAATGAGTTTAGAGTCTACTCTTCAGGCATTGCAGGCTGGCAATTCGGAACACCGTCCCTCATTCCATCATAGGCTTCTTTGTTGCCTTTATTTTGCTTGGTTGTTTTTTGTGTGCTGAATTTTTCCAAAGGTTGCATCCCCACAAATGACAACAGTCTTTTGCCATCATGACTCCTTTAAATTTATCGGTTTATCCTATAAATTCATCCCTTAATTCTCTTTGAAAGCATTTGTCTGCTGAGGCAAAGGCAGTGAATGAGTTTCAATAAGTCTGGTTTTTCTTCAAGGGAGGGGGAGACTGGAATTAGAGACGACTATTCGCGGTGTCATCAAGCCTCCAGATAAGGAGCGAAAGGCAATGCATGCCCTCACTTACAAATCATCTTTTAATCGCACATCTCTCAACACTTTCATGTTTATGTTCCGTCTGTTTAATGTTCTCCCTTCTCCGCGATCATCGTTCTTTTAAATGCTTTGCATTAATGTAAATGTTTTTTATTCACCAAGCCTTGCAGCCCTAGACTCTGTGGATCACCGTGCACTCTCTGCAGGAAAACTTGTCTACAGGAAAAATAGCCCGAAGCGCAAGTGTAACAGTAATGAGGACCCTGAACCCTCCTGTGCCCCCCTCACTGCTCCGCAGAAGCCCCTGACCTGATGAGAGTCAAAATGCAAAATTTATAAACATACTTGTGAAATAATGAGCTCTAGTAACACTAGACATGTTTGTCATTTCTTTGAACATTACTGTGTTTGTCGTTACACTGCACATAAAGTGAGTTTAATTCTGACTGCGACCATTGAATTTCTGTCACTTGATTTATGCTAGTGCTGCTGTTCCATAATTTAAATTGCATTCCTAGTTTCTTTGCTGAACCCCCCCTCTGATAATTAGTATTAAAGTTAACTGCAGAAGGGAAGCTGAAGAGAAAATGGATTACTTGGTTGTTCCTCGTCTCAGACCAAAGGGAAAGGTAATACGTTCAAAGGGATATTACTAAGGGAAGAGTTCTGCGTTACTAGACTTAGTAAGGCTCCAGAGCTGTGCCCGGCCATCTGCAGTGGATACGGGTGACAGCGTCAGCCACGTCACTTAGCTTGGGGCAGCGTGTGACTGATAGCCAGGTGATCTCCAGGACGCTTCTAGCAATGGAGATTCGGATGCCTGAGCTACTGGGTGTGTTCAGTTCACGGCAAAGTGCGATTGCGTCTCCAACAATGGTAGG